GCCTGCAGGACTCTCACCTGCGGGCCTGCAGGACTCTCACCTGCGGGCCTGCAGGACTCTCACCTGCGGGCCTGCAGGACTCTTACCTGCGGGCCGGCTGCTTACTACCTAATCTTTCGGAGAACACAAATTGGAATCCCATGAATCCCAGCATCCGTGATAGAAATTCCACAATGCACACACACACACACACACACACACACACACACACACACACACACACACACACACTGCTAGGTGTGGTGTTGCACAGATTTCAGATTTCAAGGCCAGCGTGAAGCCTGGTCTACAGAGAGAGTTCTAGAACACCCAGAGCACTTACACAGAGAAACCCTGTCTTTAGAAATAAACAAACCAATCACAATGGACTGTAACTCCATCTCCCAAGGCACATTCACAGACACATACCCACACCATATACATCATTAAAATAAATATATGAGAATTATAAGTTATGACTATATATACATTTCTGAAATGTTTTCTTCTAGTACATGTAAATATAATACCATACATTATACCAAACAACACTCAAACAAATAAAGAAGTAAACAAAGAAACAAAACCTGGATCTAGTGATTTTTTTTGCATTCATTATTTGTGTGTGTGTAGGTGTGTGTCTAAGTATGTGTGTGTTACATGTGTCTCAGTGTGTGTGTGTGTTGCATGTGTGTGTTATATGTGTAGGTGTGTTTGTGCAGGTATGTGTATGTGTCTGAGTGTGTGTGTCTCAGTATATTTGTTGCATGTGTGTGTGTTATATGTGTAGGTGTGTTTGTGTAGGTATGTGTGTGTGTGTCTAAGTGTCTGAGTGTGTGTGAATGTGGGCATGGGTGTGTGTTTTGGATGGCTGTCACTTTGGGGAGTTGGCTCTCCCTTCCACTGGTGTTTCTGTGGATTGATAGATCTTCAGGTTTGTGAGCAATTGCTTTTACCTGCTGCTCCATCTTGTTGACCTTCCATAGACAATATCAGACATGTGAATGAGGGCAAGGCTGGACCATGTCACCCTGGAAGACTGCACAGCACAGGGAGCCTTTCTGAGGCCCAAATGTACAATAGAACAGAGTGAGGACACCATATTCTATCTGCACAACCAGCAAGGGCCAGAGACTGACATGGACCTGGGAGCAATGGTTCTCAACCTTCCTCATGCTGTGACGATCCTTTAATACAGTTCTTCATGTTGTAGTGACCCCCAACCATAAAATTATTTTCTTTGCTACTTCATAAGTATAATGAATGCTATTGTTATGAATCATAATAGAAATATCTAATATGCAGGATATCTGATATGTGACCCCTCTGAAAAGGTTGTTTGACCCCCAAAGTTAAGAAACACTGGCTTGGAGATTGTTCTTCTAAGAATAGAAGGAAGCTCATTTGTGTTCAGGCATAGAGGTAAGAAGAACTCATGGGGTGGTGATTCATGACAGCCACGTGAATTTGCCTCACAATGAAATGAGATGGCATTGGGCCAATGAGATGGCTAAGTGGGCAAAGATGATTGCCACCAAGTCTTTTCATTTGAGTGGGATCCCTATGGCCACATGGGACATGGGGAGAACCAACTCCAGCAGGCATCTTCTGACCTCCTCCACACTTTCACCCTGGCTCATACACTCCCAGACATACAGCACACACTCACGCACCGGTGTAAGTAAGAAAATGTGGACAGGCTTAGGTGTGAATGGGAAGTGTGCTATGGGAGAAACAAATAGAAAATGTTCACTGCAGAATGACTTATTCTAGGTTAGACATGAAACAGAGAAAGTGTCATTGTCCCAAAGATCCCACTGTCGGAAACTACAATATTAGAAATAAAGTCTAATTTCAACATTTTGGCTGCTTTGCCTTTATTTGGGAACACTGGGTAAGATACATTCTTAATATACCAAGTTTGAGAGGTCATCTGTGACTCTCAAATGACTTTTGACTCTGTGTGTGTGTGTGTGTGTGTGTGTGTGTGTGTGTGTGTGTGTGTGTGACTGCTTTTTTGTGACTACTAATCTAATGGTCAAAAGTTTGACATTTTGCAAGAAATGGAAGGGTGGGGGGATTTGAATTTTCATCTTTCTCTACAGTTGGCCTAGAGGATAGGAGGTCAGTTTTAAGCAACCTCAGCTGCACCTAGCTCTCTGAAACCCAAAATGACCGGCCAATCAAACCTCAGCTGGAAGCCCGGGAGTTACCAGTATCCAAAGGCTTGCCACGTTCTGCAAAGAGGAAAGTGCATGCGAGTTTAGCACTTAGAACTGACAAGGAGCTCTCCCAGGCGTGGCCAGTGTCCTGCAAACTCAGTCAAAACTCTGAGGCAATGACCTTAGCTTCCTGAGTGCAGGCAATGAGCTGTAAGGCAGGACATATGTTTAGGGGTCACAGGTCAATCCACCTTCAGAAACTGTCACAGGATGCTGTGGGCCAGGGTTCGAAGGTACAGGGTTGACTATCAAGTCCTCACTCACAGACTGGGATGGAAACTCTGGGTTCAGACTTGTGTCTGCTCCTCCTGCTGGCTGGCGCCTCTTGACTGGAGCCTCACTGGTGGACTCCTGAACTCCCTGTTCACAAGGACGACGACCAAGACTACGTCTTCCAGTTGACAAGTCATGACCGGAAGATAGACCCAGAGTAGGTGGTGTGGCTGGGGCCAGATCAGGCTTCTGGACCTCATCAACTTTGGCATCTGATGGTTGCCTGTAGCTGCAAGGAATCTTACTGTCAGTCGCTATAGGCAGAAGAGAGTGTGAGCCCTGGCGAAACCGGAGATGCCTCAGTCCTCGAGTTTTTCTTGGTGATTGGATCACCCGCCAGGTGGTAAGCTCCTGGCTGGTAGACCCCATAGTCTCTGTGTGGTCCACAACTGCCTGATCTTGGCCACGTTTCCACAGTTCATATCGCTCAGGCTGCAGGATCCGAACAAAGGCGTCCATGGAGAAGCTCACCCTGGCCTCCCCACAGCTACACTGAGAAGCCACCTTGCCATAGTCGATCCACCTCGGGGTCGCAAAATTGATGGCCTCTGCACAGTTGAAGCCATGGTTGAAGCCAGCGTGGTAGCCATAGGGAAAGGTGACCATGAACTCCCCAGCCTCCTGGGTCATGCGGCCAAAGGGGATGCCATTCTCTTTGAGTACAGTGGGTGAGATGAGTGCCACCTTGTGCCTCAGGAAGGCCTGGCAGCCCTGGGAACTGCCCGGGAACAGCTGCCTGGCCAGGTGCTCCAGGCGTCGGCCATGCTCGGGGGGCACCGCATACCACGTCTTGGGCTGCCCAAAGTGCAGGTAGTTGATGCTGTACAGGTCCATGTCCTCGGTGTGCCATGCGAAGGTGGTCTTCCACATGCCAAAGTACAGGTAGGGCGTGTTGACACCCTCAATCACAATGCCGCATTCCTGCTTCAAGAGGTCCAAAATGCTCCCCAGCTGTGCCACGTTCCAATACTGAGTGTTCTCATCAAACAGGGAGCCGTTGACATCTGCACCATAGATCGGTGACCCAAAGAATCGACTTTTCCAGTATTTTCTCTCCAAATCTTCAAAATTCAGGTGTGGTGGGGTCCTGTATTTTTTACTGTTGGCCAGGTGACGGTATTGTCCCACCGTCATGGCTTTCTTCTTCTTATGGAATTGAGTGAACACACCTGCCTGGCCAGACACCACTTGCTGCAGGGGAGTGGCTATTAAGATGTTGCTGATATTGTCATAAGATTGCCTGGCTCTCCACTCCTTGGGTGGGATGACCTTGGCCAGTCCAGCTCGGTGTGCCCCTTGGGACTCCATGTAGGCAATGTACTTGTCAAAATCATTAAACTCTTCTTTGGTTGGACGAAATATCATTATGCTGCAGTTTGAATTCTGAGCACAGTTGGTCTTAGACTTCATAGCTTCAATTTAAATACTAAACTCCGATATCTACACAGGATTGAGGAAGCAGGTTTTTTTGTTTTTTGTTTTTTGTTTTAATAAATGAATTGCTGTGGGTGTGGTGTAGCAGGATCCACCTGTCAGCTTCTGTGAATGCGACAGGAACAGCCTTCCTAGGTTTGCTGACTGACTAAGAGTCAGCACTCTGGCATCAGCTCAGTCCAGGCACTGAAGGACCTCCGGCTCTGCCGTGTTCCTCTGTTGGGACCTGGGTCTTTCCTCTTGTTGTCTGTTAGATTGCACAGACGAGGCTATAGTAGAATCTTGTCTTCAGGGAAGTGACTAAAACAAAATATGAAAGAATAAAGTTTGAAATGGTAAGCAAAAGCTCAGGGAAATAGAAATGAAACATTCAATTGTATAGTGATTTCAGAAGTTGGTCCTTAGCCTACTGTTAATACAAATGAAGGTGTGGCTGTAGACTGGAACATGGGCGATTCTTGTCCCTCACCCAAGGGAATGTAATACACAAATAACAGTTTAGAAATCTTTGTGACAGTGTTTTGAGAACGGAGCACATGCATGTGCTGTGATCCAATCATTCCCTGAAAACGCGTGTGTCTGGGCACTGAAAGCACACCCGAGAGCGCCGACACTACTGTTTCTGATGAGCACATTCTGCAAAAGCCAACACCCGTCAACAGTGCAGTGAAGAGGTGCATTGCTCTAAGTTTGTGCAACAGAAGGCCACCAAGTGAGGAAGATGAATGCTTCATACAGGAACCAGTTTTATAAAGATGATATCAGGGTTTCCTAATTCAAGGGGATACCTATTCCATGATTCCATCTATGTAAGATTAAATTGAGACAAAGAAATTTAGGTTCAAAGTCAGTGTCCGAAGTTCACAGACTATCTCTGTGAAAGAGAGATGCTTGTGGGTGGGAGCCTAAGGAGGGATCTGCAGTTGCTAATCTGCTCTGAACCCAGATGCTGCCTAATGGCCATCAGAATAGCTCATTGTGATCATTCATCTAGCATGGTGATCTGTATTACCTTAACATAAGTGGGGGAGATAAACACTAAAGTCAAAGAAGCATGAATAATTGGATTAGAAGGAAAAGAGTGATTAGAAATGAACCAAATATTTTAAAAATCTAGGTAATTAGAATTTGAAGAGGTTGTTAAGAAAAAAGTAAACATGGGTCATGAATTTCCTGAACTCACATTGTGTGATTTTATGGTCAAATCAATGTTTTGCACAGACCAATACAGGGTGACAGAGACATGAGTAAGGGCTGTCCAAATGTATGAGAAACGGAAATGGTAGTGTTCAATCAGAGTGTCTCCGTGGCTCTGTATCAGAGAGAAGGTCCAGAGAGTGTTGGGGGTTGGACGGAAGAGGAGGCACAGAGTAATCATGGACCGTTTCATCTACTCTATATAAGAAATAGTAACGATGGACCATTTCATCTACTCTATATAAGAAATAGAAACGATGGACCGTTTCATCTA